GTATTCATTTGAAATCATTTTCCTTCTGCCTGAAAAGCTACTTTTAGTAGTATTTCATTTAGTATGAGTCTGCTAACATGAATGTTTGGTTTCTGTTTATTTGAAGATGTCTATTTTGCCATTACCATTTAAAATTCATAAATAAAAAACAATTAATCATTACTTTCTATTTTTCAGTTGAAAAACTTGATGCAGAACATGTTAACAGACCTGATTCTCAGAGCAGCCACAGGACATAGACTAGATATTATCCTATCTTACAGATACTGAGATAAAGGAGAAGAGCATTTGCCTTTTCTCAACATCAAAGAAAGGAGATCTGACATCTTGGAATTTGACTTGTTACAATTCCCTGATATTATAAAGTGAATTGTAAATTTCAGAGGCTCACGGAGGAGGCAGTAAGAAAAAGTTGACTGGTTAGCAAGTACATGATCCAGTGGATCTTCCTGACCTAGGAATTGAAACAGGGTCTCCTGCATAGCATGCGGATTCTTTACCAACTGAGCTATCAGGGAAGCCCTTATATGGATCCAGGGCTGTAAACATAAGTGTCAAATCTTGAGGCAAAAATAAAATACTTCGAAGTGCTTGCTTTCAGTTTTGAAGATTCAATATGCTTCTGTCAAAAGCAGTGAATACAGAATAAATATATATTAGATACAAGGACTTGTTCTTTGATCAGATTACAATGAACAGGATCGTGGTCTACAAGGAAGATAATACTGAATTCAAACACTGAAATAATGTCTCAAACGGCACTTGAGTGGCATGATCAGTCTGAGCAAGTATATGATCTCTGATCTGCTCTAAATAAATCCTTTTCCTGAATTAATTCTCAAAAGTATCCAAAACAAAAATAAAATATCCTAAATTTACAAGGTTTATAATGTACAATGTTTATATTTGTAGCTGTAAGGCACTAAAATTCAGAGGCTAACAGAACATTACAATTGCTGCCCTGTAATTTTGGACTTAACAAAATACCTGCAATGAAGTCAACTTGCTGTACTTGACCAGTGTTAGTGATTTTTCATAGTTAAGAATGTTGGAATAAAGGGTGTATTAATGAAAACAAAGAAGGATGAATTAGTTTCATACAATTTTTATGTAAGAATATAAAGAATGGATAACAAAGAAAAATGAGGTAACGAGAACTAAAAAATGAGGTAACAAGAACTAAAGAACATCATTTAATAAACATAATAAAGTTTTGAAAACAAACCATCACAAAGGAATTTGAAATTGGTTAAAATGAAAATCTCAAGATTAACCACTAGAAGGCAGTAGCAGGCCATCAGAAAGTAACTCCTTTTTTGTTTAAGCTCCTTGTCTTCTGTAACTAGTAACAAGCACTATTATTCTCTAATACCCCTACTGTACTAATGCTGTATCTCTAAGAAGGTATTTCAAAAGTTCTCAATAAAAAATTACTAAGTACAACAGAGGCTATACAAATTATTTTTTAAATTTAATTGTGAAAAATCAAAATATTAATAAACACTCACAAACACACCAGGATCAGAAGTGTGGGGAAATGAATACCTTCACGGTGGGATGATAAACTGGTATAGTCTTTGGAGAACAAAATCTTTTGACCTATTTGAAATCTAGCACGAGGATATCAGTGGCAACATGGTTTGTCATAATGAAAAAACCTGAGGCAATCTAAATGTCTATCAGCAGCGAAATAGTTAACTAAAAACTCCATATTATGGAATATCAAGCAGCATTTCTTAAAGTGAGGTAGATCTACACTTTGAAATGGAAGTATTTCTACCATATAATACATGATAAAGACAACTGCTGTATACACACACACACACACACACACAAATACACATTTAAGTACAATGTGTGTGCATAGAAAAAAGAAGGAGACATCCTAACTGTTGGGGAACAGGTTATGTGATATGACTCACAAAGGACACTGAAGTTTTATTAGTTTCTGTACTATTGTAACTTCTTCAATAAGCATGCATTACTCTATGAATTGTATAATCTGCATGAGTAAGAACAAGGCAGAAGGCATTAACTAAACAAGACAATTTCTGTTACAGAAAAAGAATTTACAGTGAAGAAAAAAATTATGTGCACTTACATCAATAAAACTATTTTAAAGCTACTGCTAGTTTTAATAAAGAGGTAATCTTACACAAGCAATTTTTAAAGGTCTGGTAACACGTTGGCAGAAAATAGAGAAAGGTATTAAGTATTTAAACACGATTAAATACCCAATATGGGTATTTCACTGCTACAATGGTGAACAACCATCCTCTGATTTCACACACTTTTTAGTGGAGGGCAGGCAGCGCAAGAGAGGAGTTAAGTAGGGAGGGAGAATAAACCTTGAATAAAAAAGAACTAATCAGAACCTAACGATTCCTTGCCTCCATTTAAAAATGGGAATTGGGACATTATGGAATATGCCTCTGAGGATATAGTGCAGATTTCATCACTGCTAAATTCACTGACCTCCTAAGAATATTATAAACATCAACAGACTAATAAATTATGAGTTACATTTGGGAGCTTAATAAATTATATAAATTAACGAAATCAAAGAATTTTAAAAAAACGTGAAAGATATGGGACAGGTCATACCTAACCCATCCCATAAAAGTAATTACCCATTAATTTCTCCTTTAATGTTTCAAAAGAAAACACAGTTACTCTCGGTCACCTTAGACAAGTTACTAAAGAATTATGTTTTATCTATGTTTCCTTTTATTTATTTTATTCTCTAGATCTTTTTTGTTTACTCTGTACCCTGATAAAAGCATTGGCCCTTCTGTTTCACTCGCCCAACTGCTAAGGCATCCAAACATCTAATCCCTTACATAGATAGAAGTAGGTCTTAAAGGGTCTTAAAATTGTCTAAACACACTGAATTTTGTGAAATATTTAATAGGTTTTTAAAACCAATCAAAGACTTGCCTACTCTAATTTACCATGTAAAATGAAAAACCAATCAATGTGTATGTAGGTTGTTGATTATTTGGGGGAATAAGGAGGTAGATCATTAAGGCTTATTTAAGGTATTTGAATTGTACTAAACAGACAGATAAAAGGCCGGCAACAAATATACACAAGGGAGACCCCTTAAGCTCCAAGTGATGTTGAACACTGTTTTCTGAAATCTCATGGCAGTGTGGGGAGAAGCTGCTTGGCAACTGGAATTCTTATTTACCAATAGGTAATTTAATATAAAAGGCCTTCTAAGTTATGCGCAGTATAATCTATTATGTCGCTTGATCTTATTGGTTACAGAATTCAAAGGAAAGTACACGTAGGTGGCTACTTAAGACAGGAACAAATTGATAGGAAAATAGAATACAAAGTTATAATTAAGTGAGTCACTTTCTCCCCTAGTCTCCTCCCCCATTCCCATCCCTCAAAGCAGTTTTTTTTTTAAAGCAGACACATTTTATTTCCCTCTCCTCTTTACCAAGCATCAAAAGAAATTCAACCACCCTCTAGTTTCCAACAGCCACACTGAGAAATAAAAACATTATGATCTTAACTTAGAGAGTTCATAGAAGATGTTCAGCAAGAACATCTGGGTGTACAGAGAACAGCCGCCTGCAGGAAGGAAGGAAGAACAGAGCAGAGACACGGTCCACGGACAGGAGGGGCTCCAGTGAACTGTTCACTGCGCGCACGCAAGGCTCACACAGAACCACTCATCGGACAACAAGAGACAGTTACTACGGAAAATTGCTCCCGAGCTGTGGCAGCTACTGAAACACGTTTAACAGACCTAAGACAGGCCTGAGCACTCAAGTGTTTCCCTTCCCTATAGAAACACGATTTCATGCAGTAAATATTGTTCCAGAAACCACTGAAGTTCAGTACTAAATTGTAAAATGCTGCAATTTAAAATTTTAATAGTAATTTTTAAAAGCCTGAGTAGCTTGGAAATCTCTACCCATTGAAATAACAGAAGGAAATCGGCAAATGTGTCAACTTTTAGAATTTTTATTCCTGCTCAACTGGCACTGAGATATTTTTTCCCTTTGGTATTCTTGCTCATTTGCGGCCATAAACTCCACCCAAAGAACCCCACCCAAACTACCAAACACTCTAAAATTATGATGGATTATAGTGTCTTTAGGAATTGGCTCTTTGGTAATTACTGATACTTTTAATTAAACACTAATGCTCTCTCTATATAGTTTTTGGCAGAAAGAACAATGCTTAACATCCCAAAGAGAAGAAAAGGGGAGATGACTGAACGGTGTAGTTAAGACAAGGTTCATTCAATGGGACCTCTTTCAAAGAGATTTCCCTTTTACTATGTTTGGTAAATGAAATGAGAAGACAGTGTCTTTTAATAAATAAAAGAAGGAGGTAGCATCTGTACTACACAAACCACTCTCACCATGAAAATAGGACTTGGAGAGAAAACCTTAGCTTTAGGATACAGAGACCTTTGCAAGGCTGGTGTGTCCAAATGCTCTCTTAGAGCAACTCCAAAAACTGCTCATAAGGGTAATTAGCACAAAAATCCACCCAGGCTGACTTTAGGTTCCTGGCACCCAACAATAAACAAAAGCTTTAGTAATAGTTTAAATTAAGCTATATCAATCTATCCCAACCACTACAACGACCCAATCCATTGTTTCTGAGACACTGTAATTTTCTGTATAGCTCCCTTCAGGGTAACTTCTCAGAAGAATATGTGAACAAATTCATTCAATAAACATTTAATCACACACCCACTTTATGCTAGGCACAGTTAATCAACAAGAAACAAAGAAAAAGAACAATTTAAGGACTGACTCTGGTTTATCATCAAATCTCCGATCAACTCTGAAAGCTAGTTTTTAACACTTTAAGGAATGGCCTCCAAAGTAATCATTTACAATCACTGTCATAATAGGGTTTTCTGATCTTTTTCCTGTTTTTGTTTTGTTTTGGAGGTTTTCTGGGGTGCAGGTAGGAGGGACTGGTTCTACACTGCTAATTCAACCACTTGGTGTTTTTTTTTTTTTTTTTACCTTCATTAGCCTCTGGCCTTGAATTCTTGATATATGCAGAGAATTTGGCAAAGATGTCCATTCCAGCAGTATTTGATTCTGGGTGTTTTGGTGAAAGCTTTAAGTACCTAAATGAAAAATGTAATAATGGATTATAGAGCCTCCAAAGAGACATTTGCATAAATCCTCTCAATCAAACCACTGTGCTAGCAGTTACTAGACATCTTTTAACAGTTATTACTCTAAGAAATGCCATCATCAGTTTTCCACAGAATTTTTTAAGATGTGCTTTTTCCTTAGGAAACAAAGTTCTGCACAGTGCTTTTGTTCACATATTAATATTCTTGGCATCCAAAGGGCATCCGCACCCCATCTCCATTTTATAAATTAAAATGCTGGGAAAACAGTCTACTTGTTCAGAGAGTGGTGCCAAGCCAATGGGTGTCTTAGTAAGCGAACTCTAGAGCAGAGCTATCAAAAAGAACTTTCTGTGCTGACGGAAATATTACATATCTGAATTGTCCAGTATGGTAGCCATTAGTGACTTGTGCCTATCCAAATAGGAATCTAAATTAATCATAATAAAGTTAAAACTCACTTCCTCAGTTGCACTAGCCATTTCAACTGTAGAGCTTTCTCAGATAGGAACACCAAAGAGACATCTTTGGCATGCCATACACCGAGCCAGCCGTGCACAACAGTACCACAGAACTGTGGCAGTAGGAAAAGAATCTAGACTGGCCAAATTTAGGTCAAGGACAAAAACAGCAGGAGGCCGATCATTCACTTTAGCCCCACACTCAGGATTTTCCAAAACTTCCCATATACGAAATACAGTAAGGGTGACACCGAGCAACAGAAAAATAAGACACTGGAATTTTGCTAACAAGTGCTTTGTTGTGTTATTACAAAGTCTTTCTACTTTGAGAAGAGACATTTCATGACACAACAGCTTTTTTAAAAAGACACACACACTTGTACTTTACATACTCAAATTTCAACACATATACATAATTTTTATTTCTTCCTTAAATTGGAAAACACACGTGAAAAAGCCCAATTCTTTACTTTTCCCTTCAGTAGAGTTTGCAGCAACTCCAAGGAGCCAGAACTAGAGAAATTCAGACTCTTAGCACCACTTCAGGAAAGATTGATCTTTTCTTAAAAGCCCTGCAAAACTTCCCTGGAAAATGGACTGGGGCAGTAAAACTACAGAAAAAAAATCTTACATTGAACTAGTTATTCAGATTTATTCATGCATTTTAAGATGCTTTCTTACCACTTTTCTTTAAACTAAAAATGAAAAAATTTTAGGAAAAAAATTTAGTCCAGTTGCAAGTTGTAGTTTCAGGCTAGTTTTTATATTCATATTTTTTATGTTTACCATTTTAAATTCAAGAAAAGATATCTTCTAAATTAGACATAGTACTATACTGGGAAGAAAAATATAAAATATCTATTGAATACCTATATGCTCAAGTTATTTCTTTTTTAATATCTATTTTAAGCTTAAAAGGTTCTTTATAATTAGAAGTTATATTAACTACATAATGAGTTTTTCAGTGAATAATTACAGTAAATAAATTTCACCTGAGTGTATGTATATGCATATTATATATGTGTGTGTGATGTGTGTGTTTATATATATACATATATAACATGGTTTTTTTCTGATTAACTACAGGAAACTTTATCATCTCTCTCTCTTTTTTCTTCCCCCTTGCCTGAGCTGAAACAGTTAGTTCCAGTTTCAACATCCCTGGATTTCCCTTGACTATGAAAATAACCAGCCTGTAGTTTAAATATTTCCACCACTTATAATACAGTACTTTCATTGACTCATTCCAAAGAAAATATAGTGCAAGGAACAAAAGCGCCTCTTCAGTACACCTATGTCTTCCTCTAGCCAAGTTTCTAAATTTATTCTTTTCCCCAACCAATATTTAAGAGTACCTATTTTTTCTAATGAAGTAAACTTCATAATTCTCAAAGTAACTTATAGGTAAGTAGATTTGAATTATAGATTATTTACATATTCATTTTATGCATATGTTTACTTATTCTAATAATTAGGTATCTACTATGTGTCAGAAGTTGTACTAAGTACTGGGGTTATAAAGACGAACACACAGAATCATACTTACCAGAGACCTATTTTAATGAGCAGGTAAAAATGTAGGACTTGCAATCAGTGTATCCTTTATTACATGGAAACAGATACTATTACAACTCTTTAAAAAAAAAATTACTGTTCTCTAAAACATGCCCTATTCTTCTCCAAAACAAACAGTTAAACTTGTATTATTAATTTAATGCACACAATACTATAGGTACATGAGACCACTCAACCTCAATCTCTCAATTTGCTAAAAGGAAATTATATTCCAGAAAACTTACATAGTTACCCCCAAATCATTGGACTTATTAAAAGTATCATCAAACTCACATCTCCTGTCCCCAAGTCCAGTGCTGTTGTTTTTGTTCTATTACAGATCAAGTTCAAAAAGATAAATCAAATTCTAAACCGTTAAGTCCAAAATCAGTTGTCAACTTTTTTGCATTTCCCCCAAACACTGGATTTTAATAATTCATTAGTAGTAGTTTTGGCAAACTGCTTGATTAAGCAATACTTTTCAACTATTATGAACATTTACTTTAACATTTAACAAAACAAAAGTAAATGATTAATAAAAGGCTATGTGTCAACCACAGAACAGACATGCACATCCAGGGCATTGAGACTTTAAGATCAGTCCTTTATTACATCCTGTATCACTAGTATTTATGGTAGTATTTATCGCTAGTATTTATGGTAGACTAGCTAAGAATAATTCCATCCTTTAAGAAAGATCTCAGACATTTCTCCTTTCTTGTGTTAATGTGAGCATAAAGTGTGGTTATACAAGTCTATTAAATTATTCCTGTAAATTCAAGTTTCATTGTTCTCTTAAAAAAAAAAAAAAGAAAAAAGGTTTAACAACAGTTTATAGAACTTTTCTCCAAAATTATCTATCTTCCTCCATCCTTCTCTCCTTTTATCAGTAAGTTGGCCAAGTATACAAGCCTGCTTCAGTTAAAAATCCAAATTTCAAAGTTTTTTAAAAGCTTTTGGTGGGGGTGGGGGTGGGGATGGGGGGTGGCAAAGTAGTTCCTTCTTTCAAGCAAGGGGGAAACTGAAAAAAAAAAACCCCAGAAGAGAAGACAGTTTCTCCGTTAAAACCTATAGTTACCTAGACTAGCAAAAGCTCCTTGATTTTAGCTTTTCATTAGTCTCTAAATTCTAAACAACTCTAGAATAGCTTATATTTGTCATGATTAAATTAGAAATGCTCACATAAAAACCCCTCTGTTCTCAGTTTCATCAAATGCCAAAAACACGGTATTAGAAATGCTGGATTCCAGTCCACCAGCTTATACAACTCTCCTGCCTTTTCTCCTCCTCCTAGAAGGCTTACAATCAGTGTGAACAGGATCAGCTAAGGACCCGAAGACCTCATCCTAGAGAAAAGGCTGATACCTGACTGCCCTAGAACAGAGGAAGGGGAAAAGAATGCATGTGATGATCCCACTTTCTTCTCTCTCTCTCATCCTCTAGAAGCAAGTCTGTGTGACAGAGAACATGCTGTTCGATCAGTATTTCACACTACGGGTTACAGAACCCACTAAGGGCAAAGTACTGTCAATCCAAACATGCTGCTCCCATGCATATAAACAGAAACTCATCAGAAATTAAACCTCCCCTACTTTTTAAAAAGGGTTCACTAAACTAAGTTGGACAACCACTTTCAGTCTCATGTGGTCATCACAGTGAAACAAACTCCCTTTGCTTTCTATCCTACTCTTCCTCTAAACTTGAGCTACCCTTCAATTTTGTACTCACTAAAGCACAATTCCAATTAAAGGCTCACAGTTTACCTTTAACAAAAGTCAAACTCAACCAAATGAAAAACAGAAGTAAGAGGAAACATAGGTTTTTGAAGGCATACAGATCTAGCTTTGAAAGTAAGTATGCCAACTCTGCCCAGGTGGCGCTGGTGGTTTAAAACCCTCCTGTCAATGCAGGAGACATAAGAGAAGCAGGTTCAATCCCTGAAGCGACTTAGCATGCAGTATGCACATGCCAACTCTGCCACCATTAACTGTGAAACCTTGGACAAATTATTTTGATTACTCCTCTTCAGTTTTTCCATAAAGTCTTGGAGAGGATTGAGATACTCCACAAAATACTCCACAATGGACAGTGCACGGCACATAATTAGCACTTGAATGTTAATAACAGCAGAGGCATTAGTAACATCAAAAATACTCCCTTCTATTTAAAGTAAAATTTTAAACTTTATTTAGAAACTCTCTTCAGAATATAAAGTCAAAGTTGTTAGTCAATCAGTTGTGTCCGACTCTTTGCAACCCCATAGACTGTACCCTGCCAGTCTCCTCCGTCCATGGGATTCTCTAGGCAAGAATACTGGAGTGGGTTGCCATTCCCTGCTCCAGGGGATCGTCCCTACCCAGGGGTTGAACCCAGGTCTCCTGCATTGCAGGCAGGTTCTTTAACCATTTGAGCCATCAGAAACATCAACATAAAAACAAGGAAAATTAACCACAGAGAGAATTTAGCAGATTAAGAACCCTTTAAAACAGAAAGGTCTCCCAAGTTTTAAATTAAATTACTTAAATGAAAAGATCATCTCTGCTTAGAGTATCTCTTTAAATATGCCCAAATGAAATGAAGCTAAATTTTCTATATATAAAAAACAAAGTGAAGAAATTCCCTGGTGGTCCAGTGGTTAGGACTCCGCTCTCACTGCTGAACACCCAGATTCATTCCCTGGTTGGGGAATTAAAATCCCACAAGCCACAAAATGAGGCCAAAAAAAAAGTGAAAATGTTTATTTTCAAAGTCCAAATCAAATTAAAAATGCTATGATGTCTTAGAGAGTCCTGGATGCCAAAAAATTAGAATATTTTAATATTAGCTCCATTAATATTTATTATGGAGCTATTATTATTTATTAATAACTTTAAGATTATTACTTAATATGTATTCCCTCTTAGAAAAAATAATAATGAAATTTGTTATTGTTATTGCTGATATTGTTGAATAAGGTTAGGAGAGAATATGTAAAAATACCCCCATTTTACTGAAATGGTATATAATGTTATCAGCATACTGACTTCAAAAACGTAAATATCCTTGCAAGGATTTACACAAGAAACTTTTCAGACTATGATTTGAAACAACATACAGTTTCCCTCCCAGAGAATGAATGTCATTCAAACTGTTTCTCTATTTATAATTTAGTGTTGATACAATAATCTACAGTTATGAGAGAAAGACTACTTTCACTAGCATCTGAGGATAAACTAGCAAATACGGAACCTTCCTCACAGCTGACAGACTTTAAAAATGAAAAGGGTAAGACACACATACATATATATATATATATATATATATACACACATACATAAAAAGAATAAAAAGAGGTCTGGCAGGTTCCATTTTCTCTCAACAGTTATTTGAATGAATGTTCATAATAGTTCATTACTAATGTATATAAAGCTTCAGTTTCTATTTTATAAAGATCTTAGTTTCAGTTTATCAGTATTCTAACTATATACATGTTCTGGAGGAAAAGTCAAACATAGTTTTATAGATATTGGTCTACAGAAACTTTACTAGGGATGGAAGGTAGGTTAGGACTCTTGGAAAATAGAGATAAAAGAAGTTTGAGGTTCTCAGAAAGACAGGAAAGCAGAGGATAAACTTTAGAATATAGGATTAAGAAAAAGAAAATTTAAGCTTAGTATAAGATTGCTGAATAGAGGGTAATTCTGTTCCTAATTGAAGATGAACTAGTTGCAGACAGGGGTGTCATTATTCATATATCTCCTGGCAGTCTTCTTGCCTACCATCTTCAATCTTGCATGCTATGCTGCAGTCACATCCTTAGGTCCTCCAAAGAAACAGTTTATTCAAAATTATTTTTCTGCTTAGAACGTCTGTCATCTTTGCATTCACCTGTGGAATGCCAATCTTTTTTTTTCAATTATAGCTTAATTCAAATATTATCTCTTTCTCTAAAGCCTTTCCTGATTCCACTCACTTTCCCATAGCACCACTATCTGTCCATATTCAACTGCACCTCTAGAGAGCAGGAACTATCTCATATTGTATCCATAGAACTTTGTTGCCCAGTAACTGTTTGCAGAATAAACCAGTGAATGAAGGAATGAATACTGAGTAACTATTATTTTAGAACTCTCTAACTCAATAATCCCATTCCAGGGAAATTTATCTGTATGTGTGGAGAGTAAGGACAACTAACAAGAGAAAGCTTGGGCCCCCCGCCCCCAAAAAAATCCTGGTTTTCAGGATAATCAAACTGGAAAAGCCTAAAAGGCTTTGAATCTATGGCAAGATTACATTATGATGCAAACCTGCATAGTTGCAATTCAGGTAACTGTCATTACAGTACATTTATTTCTCAACTACATCTCACATTATAGGCAATAGTTGAGTATTTTAAAATCATTTACTATGTGGGCTAATATGCAGGACCAGGGGATCTAGAACACCTCTGAGAAATATATACATAAAAATGGAATCCCAGGGACACAGTCTAAAAAGTTAATGCCCTTGGGTAGTAGCTTCAGAAAATTACCTTTAAAATGGCCTGACAGGAAATCTCCCAGCAACCTGTACCACACTCCTGCTTAGACATTCTGGCTGGGTTCAATGTGAGTATGTCTTTCCCCATCTCTTATCCTTAAATTTCACTCTCGTTTTGGGACCTCAAATAATCAGTCTTTCCTGACTTGTCTCATATCCCAAACACCAGGCATTCTCCAGCTTAACCCGATTCCTATCTTTCTTAGTATGGCTCACTGGCCTAGCCAGCAGCCAATTCTGACAACTGTGTAGCATTATAATGAATGAAGAGAAGTCCTAGTAATTCCAACTTAATTCTGTGACAATTTAACTTAAGTACAATGAGTAGAAATGTCTCTAAGGGACGGATAAGACAAAGCTTTAAAAAGACGGCACTATTTCCAGGCATATTTTCTTGGATACTCACTTGGGGGGGCATAAGACTTCTTCAAGAAATTCTTCAATTTTATTTACATCCGTTTTGACCTCATTGTTGAAAGTTATAAATGGTGGGTGGGTCCCCGGAGCCAAGTTCTGCAGGTCTGCAGGCTTCCTGTTAGGCAAAACAGTGGTCAAAATCAGGTCATTTTTAACTCTAACTAAAGAAGGCAACAATACTTCACATTCTCAGAGTGATTCTAAATTTTAAAGTGCATAAAAATGAATAAGAAAAAAATATACTTTTTCCACTAAGTATAATAGCTGCAACAGTACTCTAGTAAGAGGCAAACCTCCACAAAGCATATAATTTATAAGAAAATTTTAAATCTTTGATTTTAATTACAAAGTCCTTCATTCATGTTTCAAATTTAACTGAGGTACTTATTAGAAATGGAGATAGAATGAGGGGAAGACGACTTGGAAGTCAGTCTCTAGTCTAGACACTGGCACCAACTTACTGTATAAAGATGGACAAACTATAACTTCTCCAGGCCTTTTATTTTTTAAATAAGGGAGAGGAGTAGCTGATTCCCACAATCCTTTTCCATAACATTTCAAATTCAGGTGTTACTTCCTTTCCATTTTCCAAGTCCAGACTTGATGGAAAAAAAAAATTAAAAGATTTGACTAGTAACAAAATACTTTAATATATAAGAGAGCATAAACAAAGATAAAAGGCAACACAGAATGGAAAAATATGACAGTAATAAGAAGGATTTTGTCCAAATTCAAAAATTCTAATAGGTATGGGTCAAAATAAATTGATAAGCAACAGATAAGTGAACATATGGAAAAATGTCCACAAACCCAATTATCAAAGAAATTCAAAATTAAAGAATGAAGACATTCTCCTCCTATTAGGACAAACTGAAAATACACAGAACACTAATAAAAATGGCAAAACTGGTATGTTGCCCTATTAAAAAGCAAAATGCCTCAACTAAGCCCAACATGCATGACCAGATATGGTGTGCATCCTAATGATAAAACATGAAGCACACATCACCACCTAAAAGCATTCTTACCAATCAAGCCTCCTAGGGCAGCTGTCTCTCAGTCTGTGATCTAGGGAACCAGGGTACCCTGGAGAAGGGAGTGGCTGCCCACTTCAGTGATCTGGCCTGGAGAGTTCCATGGACTGTGTAGCCCATAGGGTCGCAAAGAGTCAGACACGACTGAGCAACTTTCACTTTTCATCAGATAGTCCATGAGGTCAAAACCACTCCAATAATACAAAGACATCATGTAGCTTTTTCACTCTTATGTTGTATAGTGGAGTTTTCCACAGGTTACTTGGTGATATCACAAAGTAACAAATACAGAAGCAGATATAAGAATCTGTCTTCTATTAAGGCAGTCATTAGATATGTACAAAAATATAAAACAATATAAAAACTTTATTCTTCTCACTAATTTCGAAGAATAAAGTTATTTTTAATTAAAAACTGTGATGACAATGAGTTCATGATTATTCTACTTAAATGAATTCGTAAATAATCATTTTAAATTTCTAACATTAAATAGAAATTTAAAATTTTATTCCTCACTTTAATTTCTAATATAGTAAAATCAATATTAATGAAAGCTCTTTGAGGTCTTCAATAATTTAAAAGAATAAAGGGGTCCTGAGACCAAAAAGTTCATTTATAGTTAAGTGATACTACAAGGAAGCAGTCAGCCAAATCTAGAATTTGGGGCAATCTACAGTTCAACTAATTGGATTTTCACCAGTCAATGACAGAAGGACAAAAAGCCACAAGTGGGAGTTAGAAGGGATTATTGTAGATTAAGAAAAATTTATGAGACATAACAACCAAATATGAGTTTAATTTGTTTGAATCCTAATTTGAACAAACCAGTGAAAGAGAGAATATTTTGGAGACAACTAAGGAAACTGGGGCGGGGAACCTCTCCAGTGGCTCAGCGGTAAAGAATCCACCTGTAATGCAGGAGACATGGTAGAAGCTGCGGGTTTGGTCCCTGGGTCTCAAGGAAGATCCCCTGGAGGAGGAAATGACAACCCACTCCAGTATTCTTGCCTGGAAAATTCCATGGACAGAGGTGACCGGGGGCTACAGTCCATGGTGTTGCAAAGAGTCGGACACGACTGAGTGACTAAACAACAGGGAAACTGGATTATACACTGGGAACTAGATATTATAATGGCATTGTGGTTAGGTAAAGAAATGTCATTATTGTTTGGAGATATACAATGAAATAAGTAGAGGTGAAATGACAGTATTCCTGGGGTGCGCTTTGAAATATTTCAGGGAAGAAAAAAAAAAGGGACAAAGCAAATGGAAGCAAAACCTTGTTAAAAGAACTGAAGTTACAAGGAAGTTGATTCATTTTTGTATATGTTTGAGAACTCTCATAATTAAGAAGATGAACATTAAAAACTTAAAAAAATTAGCGCATTGCTTCAAAGAACTTTTCCCCTAGTAAAGACCTTCCTTCCTTCCCTCCTTACCACAAATGCACACAATTTGAATAAAATAAAGGATATCTTTAAGTGTATCATGAAGGTAAAATATTTTGTCATTAAAAAGAATTTTTAAAATAGAGTGTACCTTAAAATCTATACTCAGTCCAGCTTATCAATTTCCCCTGTGCTTATTCACATCAATTCTCTCTCTCCCTTTCTTTACCTCCCCTTACCCCACCCACACCATGTTAACTCTCCCTCAGTTTAGGTCTGGAGAGTGCCTCATCTACCATTATATTCCAATCAAATATACAAGGACTTAGTAATTATCCAAATAGCTCAAATGTTCTAACTCAGGGCCCCCCTCTACTCATGTTCTACAGCATATCTCCATCCCAAGCCAAAGAAAAAATAACACTATTTATCAACTTCTGCAATAACCTAAATTCCAGAAGAGAACTTTTTAAAAGTCAAAATCTGATCTGATTTTCAACTCTTATTCTTTTACTGAGCATTCTTTGGTTGGACAAGGTAAAGTTGAGCACAAAATATTCAGAATACATGAAACGTGAGTTAAATAGTGAGGCATGACTAGAGGGTTCCAGTAACTTTTATATAAGTATTCAACTCCAAATTAGAATTGTTCTATTTCATTTCACTGGTTTCTTTTTTTGTTTTTGGCTGTACTGCATGGTTTTCAGAATATTAGTTCCTCTGACCAGGGACTGAACCTGGGCATGGGCACACGGCAGCCCTACCACTGGACCACCAGGGAATTGCCACTGGTTTCTTTTTGTTATTCCTTTTTACTCATCTTAACCACCTGTTCTTTGATCACTAAAGGGTCCAGCATGTCCAAGATGGTAGTTATCTCTAGTCTTCAAGTCACCCATTCATATTCTTACTCAGAATCACATTTGTTCCCATTTATAATTTATTTCCTCCTCAACTCAGAAAGACCATACACAAAATCAAGAGTCCGGAAACCCTAACAATTTAGGGTTTATATATTTATTTCCAACTCCTAACACTTAAAAAAGTTAAGAAAGTAGCACAAAGGTAAGAAAGAACAACAGTATCTCATCACTGCAAGGAGGGCTAATAAAACTGTATAAAATACACGACAAAGAAAATACACATATCTTCCATCAATGCCAGTGATGAATAAGAACATCCTTTAATCTGTCACACACAAATTGTGGTCACCCAGAAGACACTTTTCTCACTTCGAAGTTATAAAACATATCCACTAACATTCTTATGACTAATGAAGAGTCCATTAATGCTTAAGTATAAGGTAATCATTTTTTTATGAACAGGGCAGAGTTAGGTAAAGGAGAAGAAGGAAATCAATGCTATAAAATAATCTATAAGGTAGGGTGGCAAAATAAATAGCAGTTACTACTTCTACAATAAATTACGACAATTTTCAAGGTTTCCAAACAAAAATATTTGTTAGAGGAGGGATAAAGTTAGCATGGTAGAGAAGAAAGAACCAAAAAACCAAATAAAAAGAACCTGGTTAAAGTCCCAAATTGAACAGTTCTGCTATTCATCAGCTATGTGACTAAATAAATCACATCCTTTCTGGGCCTAGATTTCCTCATTTGTATTATGGATATAAGACTTGATTTGTCTATAAAGATCAAATCAAATAATGGGTATGAAAGTGAACTAAACTTTATACAAGTGTTCATGAAAGTGGCAATTTTAAACTCTGAATCTGATGGTTCAAAATTCTATTTGAGTCTGATGGTTATTTAGCATTAGCTGGTACTAAGAAATTTGATTAACACAGAAGTGTGTAAGTAAAGTGAAACTATGCACAACTAGTGAATAGTCCTTGTTTCTGCTGAAAGGCTATATAGATTTTTTTTTTTTAAGGTGATGAAACTATTTTCCAGGATTAACTGTTGAGATGAAGGACAATCATGTTAGATCCTTCCTCCAAGTGAAAGTAGATTTGAGAAAAAACTTTAATGCCTCTAAACAGATCAGCAGATTTCAAATGGACAAGTTGTAAGCACTGAAGTGACTCACTTAGAAGCTATTATCAAGTCAGCAACCAGATAGAATCTAAGATTCTTCACCTTCGAGTCCTCACTCGGCACTCTAAGGTCTCATGTTTTGTTTGACCCACAAAGGCTCATTTTCACAGATGCTTCACAGAAACTTGACGTTTCAAGAACTGCAACGTGAGAAAAATGAAACTGAACAGGTAATGGCTCAAATTTTCAGGACATCTTTGGTTTATTTCATAAAAGGCCTTCAATAAGTATTCAGCAATTCATTCAAATGTTTCCCTTAACAGATATCTAGGAAAGTAAAGTGCACAGAATTCATGCCTTGATATGAGAGCATGAATGTTTTGGAGGCTATTTATTTTCACAGTTAACCATCAGAGTAAGTCTTTTTTTATAGTAGTCTTCTATTTAGATGAAAAAAAATTATTCTGCTATTGCCTATTTTGTTTCCAGATGAAAAAAAGGAAATATATAAAGAGAAAAAACTAAAACAAACAAAAAAAACAGAAAGAGAAAGAAGGAATGAAAAGGAGGCACCTTATAGAAGCTAATACTTTAAGCAACTTAAGTGGGTTAACTTCAATTAAAATTTAATTCAGCACAAACAATTGGAGGCCCTTGGGCTGGTGGCTCAGTTCCAGCTGCTTGGTAAAAATGAGTATA